AAATGCCAGAGAATCAAAATATATTATATACATATTATATATTATAAAATATAATATAATATTATATGCATATTAATATGATTTTATTATATAATAATGATATATTGATATATTAATATTATATATAGATATACATATATATTCGTGGGGCCTCGGACCTCGAATAAATCAAGGGGTAGCAACCCCGTCCGCAGGATTTCCCACCCGCCGCCACAGACAATAGAAACGTAATTCATATTAATGCCGGCGACTCTTCCCCGTGAATCATCGCTCCGTTCAAAAATAGCAAACTCCAGCTGGCGAGAGCATAACTCAAGCAACTTCTCGGTTTCTTTCGCGGGGAAACAGATCTCATGGACCCGGTGGCGGGCCGCTGAAATCGACTGAAAGCGCAGCTGGATAAAAAGATTACGGCGATGGACTGTTACGCTCTGCGGCGGCCATTAACCGTGTACTTTTTCTTGACCGTTGCAACAAAGGATTTCGACCGCGGCGCGAGGAGAGCTTACGGAATTTTATCGGGGATGAAAGGTAGCTCGATCAAGACCGAGTCTCGGAAAATTACCGAATTAATGGGTCGGATGCCTGCAGACTGTTTCGGACCGCGTGGACCTTGAATCGTATACACGGTGCGAAAAAGAAACCCGGCGATTTTTGACACGAAAGCACAGATTGATGTGTCCAGATACTTATTTTCAAGTAATCTGGAGGGTTCCTGAGGTCGTTTCGAGCAACTTTTTCCTTTGCAAAAATTGTCTACGCCGCTTCGTTTACGAGTTATCGACGAAAAACGGTGCACCAATGAGAGGCGAGCGCTTGCCGAGTGGCGGCTGGCGCGCGGCAACCGAGCCAACGAGCGCGCTCGCCTATCATTGGTGCACCGTTTTTCGTTGATAACTCGCGAACGACGCCTCGGAGAAAATTTTTGTAAAGGAGAAAGTTGCTCGAAATAACCTCAGGAACCCCTGTTTCCCGATTTCGAGTAACTTTTCGGACATCCTGTACAACAATTCCAAGCGATGACTACTGTACTCGTCAGACACAAAGCAAGTGTCACTGTTAAAATACATTGCATTAAAAAGACAGTTTTAATTTATAAAATCAACAATTTCGTTACTAATATTTACTTATTCGTAATATTTACTTATTCATTGACGAGTATACTCGTCGCGGCAGAAAATACTGCCGCTTCTCCGTGACACGTATACTCGTCAAGCACAGCTAACCGATTAAAATAATCCCCAACAGAAGGGTCGAAACACGAAAGGATTGGCAACGGGATCCAAGTTCCGGCTGGCGGGGGGGTCGCGCCTGACCCGAATCGGCGATTGTTGCTCGGCCGCGAGCGATAAATTCACGGGTGTTGTATATGGGGCGCCGCGCGTCGCGTCGACCGGGTTCACCAGTGGGATAGGGAGGGGGAGGGGGCGCGCGCGGGTATGTCTCCTCGACCCAGTTCCCGGCGCGGCGCGATGCGGCCGCAGTTTCTACGCACCCGATACGAGCATTTCGCATCCGGGGTGGCGTGTCGAGTGCCTAAATCGCGGCTCCGGTTCCGCCGCTCTCGCCGCCTCATCCACGGCTCTCGGGCACCCGGCGCTCTCTCAGCTCCACCGTCCTCATCCTCGTGCCAACCCCGCGGTAACGAGTTACACTCGCCCCCCCCCCCTCTCCCATCCCTATCTGAATCGGAAATGCGGTTCTTTCGTAACGATCCACACGCCGCTCGATCCCCGATGACGTCTTTAACGATCTCCTGGCAAACACCGGAACGCTTCATCGCGTTATCCTCTCTCTCTCTCTCTCTCTCTCTCCCTCTCTTTCTCTCTCTCTGTCCTCTCTAGCTTTCTCTCTCTGCTCCCTAGCTCACTCTCTCTCTCTCTCTCTCGCAATCTTTCTGTGCCCACTAGCTCTCTCTCTCTCTCTCTCTCTCTCTCTCTCCCTCTCTCGCAATCTCTCTCTCTCTTCTCTCTCTCTCTCTGCTCCCTAGCGCTCTCTCTTTTCTCTCTCTCTCACTCTCTCTCTCTCTGCTCCCTACCTCTCTCTTTCTCTCTCTCTCTCTTTCGGCCGTTTGCTTTTTCAGCTTTGACACGCGCTGTACGCGGTGAAACGATTATTTATTAACGGAGTCTCCGCAACGGCTAATCGCTGCGATCTCTTCTCTCTCTCTCTCTCTCTCTCTCTCTCTCTCTCTCTCTCTCTCGGCCGTTCGTTTTTTCAGCTTTCGTTTCGATCCGACCGAGAACGGTATTTTTAATCGCGGTCATTAAGTCGCGCCGATTTTTTCTCGTAGGGATCGAAAATGCGTATAATACAATGATCACAATAGTAATAATAATCAATAATAATAATAATCATAATCAATATATATGTATATAACCTTGTATATAACCTAATAATATGTATATAATCTTGACATAACCTTGACATAACCTCGACATGACCTTGACATAACCTTGACATAACCTTGAGATAACCTTTAAAATATCACTATTACGTAGTAAAAAAAAATCCGGAAAGTTCTCGCTTCGTGATTTGTTCAATACTTCGAACGCGGCTCGAGTCCGTCCCCCGACCATCTGTCAAAGCCTCGTGCTGCGGGCTCTCGAACTTCGCGCCGTCACCTCTCATTGGTCAGTGTTTTTTGTTAATAACTCGTAAACAAAGCGGCTGATCGCATTTTCGCAAAGGAAAAAGTTACTTCAAATGACCTCAGCTACCCCTCATTTTCGGCTGTTAAAATAATTGTGGAACACCCTGTATATATGATATAATATACATATAATATGTATAATATGTCTATAATATATATATGATATAATATACATATAATATGTATAATATGTCTATATAATACATATGTGATATAATATACATACAATATATATAATATGTCTATAATATATAATATACAATATTTATAATATAATATATAACATAATGCATAACATCATACAGTACACAATAAAAAATATCGCACTTGGAAACCAGCAACGAAATACCAAAATGCATTTCCTACAAGCCGGACCGTCGAATAAACAAAACAAACCTGAAACGAAATTACTAAATAACGCCAGAAATCGTTGGCTAGATGAGTAAGAGCGCCAATTAAAAATTTAAGGTGGCCATGAAACGTTGAAAGATCATCCTCCCCCCCTCCCTCCTCCAACAGCTTCGACCATGGAGACGGATTGAACGATAACGAATCCCACTGTTCCCTCATCGATCGGCCACTCTCTCGTTGCTCTTCAAGCAGCCGAAGAGGAGTTCCTTTTTAACTCGTCTCTCTACAATGAGGCGTGAAGAAAAGAGGGAGGTAGGGAGGAGCGGGGCGAGCGAGCGAGCGAGGGGCGTAAAGGGAGGCGGGGGGTGGGGAAAAAGTTTCGCGAGGGCTCGACGACGGAGCCGGAGAGATCTCTGTCGGGGGCCGGAATGGAAAAGTCGCGGCGGGAATCCTCGGTCGACGGCTACGTATATTTTTCTTGCCGGCTTCTTTTGTGGACAAAATAGCGGCGGGCGGAGGAGGGGGAGGCGGCTCTGAATTCCGCTTGAATGGAATAAAGAGCAGAATAACGGGCCGACACCTTCGGAATAAGCGCGACGTGTTTCTGCTCGTCGACGGCCAATTACCGATCAACTTTCCGCCATTTTTGTTTGGACTCGAATTCTCACCCGTTATCTTCGAAATAATTGTATATGTGACATCGACGCGCGATAATCGATTTCCATAAAAAAAGCAGAGAAAAATCAGTTTCAAAAGATATCCCCATAAGGCATAATTTATTCACTATTATTATTATTATTCACTATAGCAGTCGATTATTATCGTGTGGTTTATTATTTATTATTATTTTTTATTATTATATTTTGTTATTTATTATTATTTCATTTTGGACACGGCTGCATGGCTTCGAAGTTAACCCGTCTCCGAATTATCCTAAATTTATATCATCGTTTACAATTCTTTTGTTCTTTGAAAATAAATCATTTTTCCAGAATCTAATGCACTGAAATTACTGTACTTACAGTACTGTCAGAGCACACTTTTTTATCTCTCACACTTTTTGGGGGTTGTGTCCAATCGATTCGAGCTCTGAATCTCTCGATATTCACGAAAAACTGTTAGCGGCGGCCATCTTGTGACGCCATGCTCGAGAGATTGACACTACGCTGGTCGAATATTGCATGCAGATATCTCCACGATAACTGCAAAACGAATACATATAATATATTCGTTTATATAACCGAAGCCCCCGTGTTTAGTCTTTTGGGAATCTAAATTGTCCACTTGTGAACTGCATACTTCGATATTAAAGCGTCGGTTTTAGCGGATGTAAACCTCTGCGAACTAATATACGTATATGGTTTTCTTCTATCTGTTGGGCCGTCACAGTGTGCGGCGACCCCGCAAACTTAAAGGTGAAAAACATACAAGGTGTCCCGAAAATGTCTCGCAATCCGAAAGTGGCGGGTTCCTCGGGTCATTCGAAGCAACTTTTTCCTTCACAAAAATGTTCTTCGAGGCACCGTTAACGAGTTATCAACGAAAAACATTGCGCCAGTGAGAGGCGAGCTCGGCCGGCGCGAGGCGACCGAGCCAATGAGCGGAACTGGGCTTCGCGCGACGGTTGGCTCGGCGAGCGCAGCTGGCGCGAGGCGGCGGAGCCAATCAGCGCGCAGCTGGGGATCGCGCGCTCGTTCGCTCGGCGAGCACGGCTAGCGCGAGGCAGCCGAGCCAATGAGCGGAACTAGGCTTCGCGTTAACGGTGCCTCGGAGAACATTTTTGTAAAGGAAGAAGTTGCTTCGAATGATCCGAGGAATCCGCCGTTTCCGGATTGCGAGACATTTTTGCGACACCCTGTACAATAAATTCGTGACACATCCAGCACGAGATTTCGTGCCGCTGGAAAAACGGCAGCGCCCGAAGCAACGGCAGCACTGGCGAATCGGAACCGGCAACGAACCGGACCACGAAAAATAGCGCCGAGTGGTGGACGTATTTGCGTGCGGGGCGTTGAGATGCTCGAAGCAGAGAATAATTGCAAAGTGACTCACGCTCGCCCAAGGACCGGGGCACGAGATGCTGGTGCTCCAGTTGCGTCCCGTTCACCGGCGGATCTGCAACGGAAAAACAGGACCGATTAATATTACCGTCGGGTAAACACTGATTTTTTTCTAGCTTCTTTATGCAGCCCGAAATTGATTAACGGTTCAGCAGCGCGGCGAAGTGTGCTCCATCTACCAGCGTTTAGGGTAAGTGTAAGAAATATTATCGCGGTATCTCAACGAGAAGGGGAAAACTTTGACAGAGAAAATATAACCTTTCACGCCGCAACAAATTCACAGCTCGAACTATACCCGTTATTCTTGAACTCGAGTGTATTTTTTTATTTTCTCAAAATATCGCATCTCTGAAAGCGCGAATTTTATTTAAAAAAAAAAAGAAAGGTAACGTAAAGAAACCGTACGTGTGCACATATTATTGTGGTTATGTATATCTATTGCAGCGAGCCGAATACAGCGAATGTTCCGATCACTGTGTGTCAAGGTGACATAACCCATTTTCTTTTGAATGCAACAGCGCAGCTACAATTCCAAATTAGATATAGGTTATGTCTACGATCAAGCGCGCGGCTCGTCGAAAACTGCACCGTACAGGTTAAGGTACGTAGTTCGGTGAAGCACCGCAGAAATGTACACACGCATAGTGAAAAAAACTAAGCGCCGAGTACTGTGTCAAGGTTATGTCAATACTGTGTTAGTAATATTAACATTCGATTTATTTGTATGAAAGTAATTTTTCGGCAATGATCCAGTGAACATAATTAAACGGAACATAAAATAAGCCTCGTTTTGTGTACTGCTAAAATTATTAACCGCGATCGCCGATCGAGCAACATTTAAGAATTCGATGAAATCCGGCTGATTTATTGAACGAATAATGTACAATAATAACGAGCATTCGTTCAACCATGCATTTTGTATATTCCAATCGGACTCGACGCACCGAATGTACGTATGTATATCGGCAAAATATGAATTTCTCTCTCGATCACTTTCCAAAGGAAATGTACATACATTTTTATGTTAAAGCTTCGCGGCCGGAGAATTTTCTCGGATCAGTTACCAACAACTGGAACGTATTTATTCGAGAGAGAGAGAGAGAGAGAGAGAGAGAGAGACACAGTTACTCGCTGAACTATTCGGACACCTTTCAGTAAGCTGAATGGAATTCTGTAATAATGTACATAATAATTGGGAAAATTACGAAATATATAAACAAGGTACACTGATATATTTAGGTACGTGAGTTCGTTCGAAGAATTTATTCGATGTATGCATTAGCCGGATTGAATTTCATTCCAAGAATTTATTCGAAATATCTCTCGAATAAAATTGTATTTTATATATAATAATATAAATATTTATATATATAATAATTATTATACTATTATACTATATATATAATAATTATATATTATACTATTATTATTATTATACTATATACTATATAAATTATATTTAATTAACTATTAATATTATATACAATCATATTATACGCATTTAATTTATATACAATATAATTTTATTACATTAATTTAATTCAATTTTTTATTCAATATAATAGGCCAAATCGAATATAACTGTCAGCAGTGTAATTATCGCTCCTCCTCCACGGCGATTTAAAGGAAAACGTAGCAATGATTTTCCGTGGACTAAGAAAGACCGTAGAAAATCGGCGGATCTACGGATACATGGATCGCGTTGAAGTATTCGATCGAAGAGAATCCAAGACCGAGATCGAGAGGACCAAGAGGACGCCGAAAGGCTGAGGAATCTCCGAACGGTACGTGCCGGTCGGGGGGTATCAGTGCTTGCTCGCACACGTTACACGTTGCATAATATATTTTCAGGAGAGTCGTTTAAGGCGGGGTGCACGTCCCCCGTCGTCGACAGGGTTTCATCGACCAATCGGTGCCGGGGTGGAGCTTAAGCTGGCCGACGCGTCGGTGTCAGCACCTCTTCTATTTCGCGAAGGCCTCCCTCTGTCTCACCTACATTCGCGCCCTCTTATCTCCTCTCTCATTTTCCCCGCCCGGCCACCCCCGCGTCCCACCCCCCCCCCTTCCCGCGACCGCTCCGCGTACTTGCACAAGGTTCGCAGGGCATTTCCAACGCTCTCGTCGACGATGCCACTGCCGCTGCCGATCAAAATCACCGATACGCGATTCTCTCTCTCGCTACTCCAGATTCTCTACTCTCGGCGCGATTCGCGCTGCTCGAGCGGCACGACGCGTTCGAAATGGGACTTCTCGAAGTAGCAAATACAATTCTCTGTACGAGCTGCAATACTTCGTCATTTCAGAGTTCAATGGGATAGGAAATCAGAAATGTTGGTGGGAAAAACACCGGTCAAACGAATTTATTTAAAATTATATTATGTACATTGTATGTTATTGTATATTATTATACATTATTATATATATTATTGTATATTAATATACTATGTATATTAGTATGTATAGTATGTATTAACATACTATATGTAATTATTTGTAATTTAATTTTATTATATTGTGTGTGTGTGTGTGTGTGTGTGCGGGCGCGCGCGCGCGAGATAACGTATAAAAATATTAATACGAAATTCGAAACCGCGTTATTTTGGAAATTATTAACCGCGTTATCGATGGAAATATTTGTTATTAATCCGATTAAAGCATTGATCTGATTTTCGATTCGTATCTGATAGATGTTAACAGATATATTAATAGATATATTAACAAATATATTAACAGATATATTAATAAATATATCAACTGATATATTAACAGATATATTACTAGATCTACATATAACACTAATTAACATAAAATTTACAACACTAAAACAGTTACACCGTTTCGAAAGCTACCCAAGGACACTTTACCCCCATCCGACTGGAAATTCATCTACCATTCATTGTTTTCGTAACAATACGTATCTTACGAGGCAGTAACGTATTTATTAAAGCAGTTTCACGGGATCGATCCGACCGATCGGAGAATTATATATTGACAGTGCTCGGTGCTCGCCGGTCGCAGTAAAACCGTCAAATTAAATAGATAAGAGTGGACGATATTATGCGGATATTTGAAATGCGAGGCGAGCACCGCCGAGCAATCAGTGGTGGGGGGTGTGCGGCGCAGCGCGGCGCGGCGTGTAAGCAGCTTTCTCCGTGAAACGAACGACGAGCGACTGACTCTCGTCTCGTCTCCCCTGCTCCTCCCCTTCTCAACCGGTGCCCGGCATTGTCTCGGATTTCCACAGTGTTTATCGCCTCGGGCTGCTTTTTTTGTAGGCCGGCAAATTGTAAATAGAGTTTGTGTCGCGCGAATCGATCGACAGCCATTATCGTTATTGCTGTTATCGCGATCGCGCGCGCGACGCCTCCTATTATATATTATATTTACGGTCACGCCGGCGAACAAACTTTCTAATATACCGGAGTGCTGCTGCTCCCACGGCCGTGATAATATTTTCCCACTCGATACATTTGCTAAACGGAGAACCGTCGAGCGATGTTGCGCCGCTTTGCATAAGTTCCGGGCCGGCGCGCGTTGCAACTCTGTCCACAATTCGATTTTTCCCGACCGGTTGCCCGCCGGCTAACTCCATTATTATCCTTTGTACAGGGTGTCCTATTTGTTGTAGGCGGTGCGCGATTCATTCGATTATCTGCCGAACCGTAGTACGCTTCGAAAAATTTGTCGGACGAAATTTAACCTGTTTCCTGTTAATGGTGGAGAATTATTTTGCTCGGTGCGCGTGCTTCCGAGATTTCAAGGTGACCTTGTTTCTCTTTTTATGAGACGATATTTATATTGTTGTAACAGGGTGTCCCGAAAATGTCTTGTAATCTGAAAATGAGAGGTATCCGAGGTGATTTGAAGCAACTTTTTCCTTTGCGAAAATTTTCTTCGAGGCTTCGTTTACGAGTTATCAACGAGAAACACTGGCCAATGAGAGGCGAGCCAACGAGTGCACGGAGCCCGGTTCCGCTCATTGGCTCGGCTAGCGTGCGGCAAATGATCTCGCCTCTGATTGGTCACTGTTTTTCGTTGATAACTCGTTAACGAAGCCGCGGATTGCATTTCTGTTAAGGAAAAAGTTGCTTCAAATCACCTCAGGAATCCCCTACTTTCGGACTGCGAGACGTTTTTGGGACACCCTGTATATTTATAATTAATATTTATATATATTTTGTGTATTTTTTATTTTGTTTTATGTATATTTTTTGTATATAAACGGATCGTGCAGTTCGAGGTGAATTCATCGAGCTGTGACACTTTGGTGTTCGAAGATCGTTCAAGGTCATTTGCAGTCGTTCAAACATCTTCGTAAAACGCCTCGAAAGTTCCATCTTCGTTCGGTATGTCGTCGTTTCGTATTGCCAATGTAACGCGATCTCTCGCTAGAAAAAGGTAAAACGGCATTGAATAACCTTGACGTAACCTTCGAAGGCCAAAGCGTTTTGTCTCTGTCTTTATGGAAGATAAAAATATCGTATGCATCGATTATACCGGAGATAAGAACTATTGCAGACATTTATATTTTTTTCTTGAATTATTTTAACGGGACGTAAGCGATATAATCAAATGAAATAATTATATAACAAAGTAATATAATATAATAACGAAGCACGGTAAATTCTCCCCGATTTTCCATCAGCTTTTGAACAAAAGTGCACGATTTGGGAAGAGTCAACAATCGTCAATACTTTTTTCTTTCAAAAATATATACGCATTTCTGTAAATCCGAAATTAATAAACAAACTATATTATATATATATTTCTTATAATATTTTATAATAATTATAATAAATTCGCCAATAAATTACTAGATAACGAAAGAACGTAACTTGTTATTATTTCTTAGTCTCCTCGTATCACTGTTTTGAATTTCACCGACTTCCGTCGCGAATGCAAAAACTGCGCAGTCCACCCCGACGACCGTTCCTTCCGATTCTTCCCCCTCCTCCTCTCCCGGCGGCGCTGCCGTGCCGCTCCATCTGCACGTGCCGGAGGCCCCGTAGAGGTCATCGTTGCGAAGTCGAGTCTCGTTCGAGTGACGCGAAGAAGCAAGAAGAAGAACTCCCGGAGACAGGTCGAACGGTGTCAGCTGCTCTGGTTTTATCACAAGTGCCGGCCCCGATGTCCAAGATTAGAAGGCGAGGCATCGGAGAAGGACAGAGCGAGCAAGAGAGGGATGATGTTCGAAGACCGACACGACAGGGGATGGACAGGCCGATCCGTCGCGGCAGCGGCAGCACACGCGCGAGAGCAATCAGGAGAGGACGACGACGCGAGACGCGAGACGAAGAGATGCACGCCGCCCGTCGATCCCTTTGATTTTCGGGATTAGAGAGAGATTTGTTTACCGATGGCCGGTTGACGACGCGGCTTCTCGCCAATTTCTGGCAATTTGCGACACTCGAACCTGCTCCGCGTGCTCTGTTAATCAGCCCTAACTGGCTTCTATGGCCGTGTGTCTTCGCGCCTCGACGCGTCGCCGAGCTGTCAACAGTGCGACCGCCGCTGACGTCACGGCCCAGCGGTTCGAAGGAGTGGGGGTAGGGGGCAGCGCAGTCGACGCGACGCGACGCGATGCGACACGACCAAACGCAAATTCAAGAGCAGCACTGGCAATTCTGCTGCCCTCTATCTCATAACCTCTACCTCAACGGTGCTCGCGACCTGCCGATTCGACTGAATGCCGATTGAGCAAGAAATGATCAAGGTATTTGGTATAAATAAATCGATAAACTATGGAAAAGAATTTTATATTCTATCGTTTTTATCAAATCGGTTTGCTTCCGTGTGTATTCGAGTAAATTCTGATTCGAAGAAATTCTTATTCGAATAAACTGTTATTCGAGGAAATTCTTCTTCGAATAAAATCTTATTGGATTATTTGGGTAAATTTTTCATTAAAAGGAAATCAGTGAACTCGGACAATTCTAGATTACTAAGAATGTATTTTAACGTTTTTAGGTGGATCGATGTATTTTATTTGATCAGTAGTCAATTGTAAATTTTTGTACGAAATGAAAATTATCCGCATTTGTTGCAAGTGAGCAACATAACGAGACAGCTGATAATAACCTTAATTTAACCTCAATTTAATCTAATAATTTTTATTCGCAGTAAATGCAGTTTTCTCGTAATAATCGTTTATATTTTTCTGTTCGTTCTCGTTCCGTTTTTATCTCGGCCCTCGAATATTCGCGCTGTAAAACAACCTCGACATAACCTTAAAATTTACGAATCAATTACAGTTTCCACTGAAATTCCAATTTGAACGGCAAATTGTAATTTCAGCTTTCTCTAAAATTGCAATTTGATGTTCAAATTGCAATTACCTTTTACGAGTGTACTCGACGAAAAATATTGCCGTCTCTTCGCGACGAGCGTGCCCGTTGAAAAAACAGCTAACCGGTTAATAAAAAAAGAAACGAACAATTAAATGTTACCTGCTCCGCGAAGGGTCTTAGAGTCTCGGAATCTCGGAACCATGGGATCTCCAGAAAGCGTTTTATGGATCGTTCGTAGGCTTTAGAATTTCGGTGAATATCGTCGAACGCCGTGCTGCTAAAGTGCCTAATGCCCGGGGCGAACCGTGCATTCTCCCGAATCGTTGAAAGCTCCTGTGCTACCATGGTTGCCCGAAGATCGCGGTTCCGGAAACAATATTTCCAGATACACAGTAATTTCTCCCGGAAATGCCGAATTTCGGGATGCCGCGAATTTCCCTGCGCTAGTCCTACGCCTGTGTAATCTATTGCCAGGTCGATGCCGAGGGTTGAAAGACGGTTAACAAACAGAAAATGGTACAGTAATTTCTCCCTAATTCGCGGTCAGATTGCGCACAAAAATGGACAATTTTGGGAAGAGGAGTTACGATCATTTTTCTTTTTCTTTTTTCTTTTTAGTTTTTGTACTTACCGATCGTCGACGATCAGAAAAACGAGGCGCGAGGGCTTGAACAATCGTGTCTCGTCTTCCCAAATTGTCCATTTTCGTTTACAAGCCGAAGGACAATTCGGGAGAATTTACTGTACGTCCACCTGTGTTTTTATTTATTTCTTGGATCAATTTCGACATTCGCCTCATCGGTTCGTCTATTATTTCTGTTTTTATTTGGTTCTTCGTCTTTTAGCACCGTGTCCCGTCCGGTATGTATCCGCCGGTAGACGTCCATTTCACGTCCATTTTAGGTCCGAACGTCTTTAAGACGTCTTATACCAGACGTTAAAGGACGTCCAATTCAGGACGTCTTTAAGACGTCCATTTTACGTCTATTTTAGGTCTGAACGTCGTACGCTCCAAAACGGACGTCTTCAAAAGGTCTCGTTCCAAAGTTAAAAGAACGTTCAATTCCCAATATCTTAGAAACGTTCATTTTACGTCCAT